TGACAGCCTCTTCTGTCCTCCGCGGGCACTGCACGACATGGGTGCACTTACAAGCAGGCAATACACACATACACGTAAAAAAAATTTTTTTTAAAAATACAACTTTAAAAAGAAATACTTAAAAGAAAACCAAGCAATTAAATTTTGAGAGGAAGACAATGCAGGGTGGACCCATTTCTTTTCCAACCTTTTCTGGAAAACAAATACAAAATACTTTTGCTTTGTCATGAAAATCAGTAAGAATTTAACACACTTCCAAAATCCTGTATGTAATTTCTTCTACCTCTATGTAAGATTCAATGTTTTAAAACTGAGCTGGGCATTAGCTAGTGAGCATGCAAGTATCCATGTGTATCCCTGACTGTGCCTGTTTGAAGTTCCTGACCTTTTTTTGACTTCCTCATAATGAACTGTGACTGGGGATTATAAACTGAAATAAACCTCTTTCTCTCCTAAATTTTTTTTTTTTGGTCTTTTGAGATAGGGTTTTCCTGTAGTCCCAGATGGCCTGGAACTCACTATGTAGACCAGGCTGGCCTCAAACTCACAGACATCCTCCTTCCTCTGCCTCCAGGGTGCTGTAACTAAAGGTGTGCTCCACCACAGGGGATTAAAAATTTAAACCCAGTATGGTAGAGGAGAGCTTCCCTTTCACAGCAAGAGGATTACCTCAGCATTTATTTCCTGGGATTCAGAGATGACACATTATGCTTAACATGATTCCATGCACTAGTATCAAATATGGCATTTATTGGCCTTTAATTTTGAGCTTCATAAAGTGTATACTTGTTATTAGGTTAAAGAAGCCACTGACATGATTGGTCAACTGCAAGGTAAATTACCGGGAAGCTCAACAGAGAAAGCCTCAAAAGCAGAGCTCGTGGCCCTTCTTGACTGCCATGACACGTGTTCCCTGGAGCTAGAGCAGCAGCAGCTGGCCCTGGGGATGCTACAGCAGTGAGCACTGAGCATGCTGAAGGACGGAGCTGTCCCCGCACCTGGAGAGGAGCCTCCCGTCCTGCAGGAAATCATGGCGATGCAAGACCAATGCCTCAAGTAATTACACATCTGCTTTCTTTCATTGGTACAACTGGTCTTCACCCAAAGGGGTCACTTGTATCCTTGGGCGTGGGGGCGCTCTGTCACATCACCTTCAGAATGCGGATCTATTCCTGTTACTTCTACTTCGGAGTTTTCTTAACTCTTCCATCTTTTGTCTGACATACATATCTGATAACAGAATTCTTATCAGTGATGAAAGCATGGGGCAATGGCTCAGTGGGTAAAGTGCCTTCTGCACAAGCATTAGGTTCTCAGTTTGATCCCCAGAACCCACATTCATAAAACAAAAAAGCCAAATATGGTGGCACACACTTGTATTCCCAGCACTGGGGAAGTGGAGATGGCCAGATCTCTGGTGCTCACTAGCCAGCCAGCCTAGCCTACTCGGTGAACTGAAGGCCAGAGAGACCATCTCAAAAAATGAGATATATAACTCCTGAGGAACAACACCCAAGTTTGACCTCTGCCCTCCACATAAATGAACACATACATGTATCTGTACACATATGTACACCCATAACACACACATACAGATACACCTACAAACCAAGCAGGCTCAAAGTCTGCCTTCCTTCATTTTAAAGTGCTTATAGGTGATCAAAGAAACCATTTCAGTAAAGTCTGAAAAGGACACTGTACATGGATAAAGACCTGATAAAAGGAGCTCAGGGAAGGAAAAGTTTATTTTGCCTCATGGCTGAGGGGATATGTGGCAGGGAAGGCTTGAAGGCCAGAACGTGCGGTAGCTGGTCACACTGCATCCCCAGTCAGGAAACAGAGTGATGAATGTGGTACTCCATTCTCTTTGTTTTCGGTTTTATTCAGTCTGGGACATCAGCCCATGGGATGGCACCACCCACATTTAGAAGCACTTGTTCCTCTTCAGTTAAACATCTGTGGAAATGCCCATACAAACTTGCTCACAGGTGTGCCTCCTGGGTCACTCCCAATCCCTTCAAGTTGAGGAGATTGACCATTGGTGATACAAATGTAAAGCAGATGCACCTAATCTAGAGTTGGGAAAGAAGACATTTCTTCTGCAGCTAAAGACTGAGTCAGTTTGAGCTCAGCATTGAGGCAGAATGGCATATAAGAAAGCTTGGAAAATCCCTGGGTGTGGAGGGGAGAAGATGAATGATTCAAGAGATGAAATGCTAGAGATGGTAACACATACCTGTAATTCCAACACTCAGGAGACTAACGCAGGAGCCTGAGTATGTAGTAAATCCCTGGTCAGAAATGAAGTATGAACAGCTGAGCACTATTTAGAATGCATGTTAGACAATTCATTGTCTGTATAGCAAGTGTGATACCAAAGTGTAGGCAATTAATCCCATTTAGTGAAAGTGAACCTAGGAGAAAGTTGATCTTGATGTTTATAACCATCCTGATTCACTTCTTCGGCCATAGAAAAAGAACTGTCTTGAGATAATTTAATTCCTATATTAACTAATTTCAGCTTATACCATTCTACACTCACCTCTTTTAGTTATTAGTGACCTTGGGTAATGGGATACCACATCCCGAGAAACCTTTTTGTCAGATTAATTCAAACTATGACATTGACATCTTCGTGGTGGCATAGCTAAAGCCTGACTCTGTTTTAAAGGCTGTCTTTTCACAGCCACACACATGGCACATTTCTTTCAAATACTGATGTTGAGGAGCCATTTGAGCAGATTCACAAAGAGGAAGCAAATTGCAACTCAGTGGCAGGGAACAAAGTCTACTCTCAAATTTCCAGAGATCAATTATTCACTTCAGGTGATGCAAGTTCTTCTCTTATCCTTCAACTTGACCTCAGCATTGCTGCATAGTATCTGACAGTCTTAGGGAAATGTCTTTACTTGCAAAGAAACATACTTTATTCTATGATTTTCACAAAATGATCCTGTGCCGGGGGGTGGTGGAGCTCCTCTCTGTATCCACCTCTAATTTCTCCCTCTGATATTTTGAAGCATGCAGGAGAAAGTGAAGAATCATGGGAAGGTGGTAAAGCAGGAGCTTCAGGAGAGAGAAGCGGTGGAGACTCGAATTCTGTGAAATCGTGGGTTCAAGAAACAAAGGAATATTTAGGAAATCCAACAATAGAGGTAGATGCTCAACTGGAAGAGCTGAAGGTACGAAACTCTTCTTGTTCTCAGTGCCCATTATGTTAAAAATGCCTTTATTTTAGCTCCTTTTGTTTATAGTTGTTGAAACTGTGATTTAAAATCTTTAGGCATGTATTAAATAGGTATAATGTACTATTTCTTCATGGGATTGTTTGTTTCATAAAGGGGACATGCTTCAGACTTATTTTTCTTTAAGATGTTTCTCTAAATTCACAATAATACACCATTGAAAAACAGATGGCTTTATCTCTAGATCCATCAAAAGCAAGTTCCTTCTCAGGTGCCTAGAAATTTCTTATTTTTCTTTTCTCCCTCAGATCCTCCTGACTGAAGCCACA